CTTCTCTACCACTTTTACCTTCTGCCTTGTTTTCCAACCTCTCTTTTATGTCGTCTAACATTTGCCGTTAGTATTAAGCTCTCTGCTGGTAACTCTTTACGCCAACTCAGCAACTATCTAGCCTAGAAAACATTAATCCTTAATTACCAATCATCTAGACAACCATGGTCATGTTTATCCAACACATCCTTAAGTGCTGCTTTTGACATAAAATCTTCCCGCACAGCCTATATGTTTTATATGATATCTATCCTAATGGTAATTCATGGAAGTCATGATTAACCTTTACCCAACCCTGGCTTCACCTTTGAAACACTCCCTAGTCCACAGTTATCGTCAACCATCATTGCAGTTAATATGTGATAGTAAAAGCCTACAGGCTAGGTTAAGTCCCCACTAAACCCTTAATACATTTTCGGTTTTCGTTACTTGTTTTTCATCAACAGGAAAGAAATATACCACATCCCTTGTATTCCTTTAATAGACATAATCTATCGGGCAACCTTTATACCCTCATTTAGAAACACGGGTATGCTCATCGACCACACCAATCATCGGTACGTATACAAGCACTAAAACTTTGGTTAAAATATGTAACTAGAAATATCGCTCTCCCTACATAAACAAGAGCATGCTTAATGAGACAACTAATGAAATCAAAAACGTAATAAATGGCATAGATGAGAATACTCAAGATGATTTCAAGAAATTTTAAACAAGGAAGGAATGAATGCTTGCCGATTATGAAAAATAATGATAACAATAATTGAGGCAAATGATGCTTGCCGTCGAGAGGGTTCGCTGGCGGCATGGGGCTAAGGGCGGTCGAGCTGGCAAGGGAGCTCACGGCGGTGACGAACCGGAGCTTCTGGAGACTCGACGGAGGTCGACAGGGCTGAGGGTGGTTGACGGCGAGCGACTTGAGGATTTGTCGGAGCTCGTGGTGGCAGGTCGGCAAGAGGTGGTGGTGAAGATGGAGGCGATGATTGTTGGTCGTGGTGGTGGAGGGAGCTCGAGGGGGTGGAAGAGGGGCGGTTCTAGTGGCTTAAGGCGATGAGGGGACGGTGAGAAGGTGGTGGTGCGGCGACGGGAAGTGGCGAGGTGGACTCAGGCGTTGGGCGGTTCTGAGAAAGAGAACGAAAGAGAGATGAAGAGGAGAGAGAAGGGGAAATGGGTTCTCTGGCGGCTGGGTAAAGAGAGAGGAAGAGGGTTTTATTTATATGCTTAGGGTTAAGGTTAGAGTTTAATAGGTATTAATTAACAAATAAAAGAAATAAATAGGGGAAATAGAAATAATTAGGAAAAAATCCTTGAAAGA